CCGTGCATAATTATTTTCTCTTATTTTATATTTGTTTCTATTATTTTTATTATTTTTTATTTCTTTTCTTTTCTTTTAGCAGGTAAAATAATCAACCTTATTTAGTAGTTTTAGAGACGTACCTGACTTGGTATATGGCAAAGAGGAAAACGGCTAGGAGGACACCCACCAATAAACGTGATCAGGATACATAGGGTAAAATCTAAAAAGATATTGATTAGTATTTCTTAGTACAAGAAATTGTTTAATGATAGTAAAAGATAATTTTGAGAGTAAAGCATAAATATACATTCGCGGGAATTGTTATTACGATTTAGTATAAATAAATGGGAAAATTGTATCGGCGTGTCATCATAAATAAACATCAAGAGATTTGTGTGAGACGCGGATTTTGATCTCACACTACATAGTGCCAAAATGTCAAAAATGTCAAAAATGCCAAAAATGTCAAAAATCCAAAGCTGTTGAAATATCAAAACTGCTGAAATGCCAAAACTGTCAAAAATCCAAAACTGTTGAAATATCAAAACTGCCCAAACTGCTCAAAACAAGACATATGCGCTGATTTTGTTTGAACCCCAAAATCCAGTACGGTATGATCATAACGTTATGAATACTTTATACTAGCAAAAACCCATTGGTTTTGAGGTGGGGCCATTGGTTTGAAAGGCTGTTAAATAGTAAAATAGGTTTTTTTTAATTATCATTCTACTGACCAATTTACACATTAAAAATACTCGTGTTTAACATCGAGACACAATAAGACATAAGGTTTGAAAAAAGGCCCAAAAAACAAATCGGCTGATATGAGAAGTTGATGCGGCACATTTTGCAATTCCGACAATGTGGTTTTTTTTTCTTCTCTGTACTTCTATAGTAAGAGTTTGGATTAGATGTTTTGGTCTCAATTGAGCTAGATGCGACCACGGATTGGTTTCCGCACAATTTCCATGTACCCATGTCTCCATGCTTGGCATCAATTCCTGATTCCGATAATGGGAAAAAGGTGTAGAGGGAAAAGGCTCTAATCGTTCTCCTGTTGAATCCTGACTAAGTGAATTCTGTCTTTCTTCTTGCTTATTTTTGGCCAAGAGTTCATCGTATACAGGTAACATAACGTGTCCCACATTGTAGTTATCACCAGTGACTTGGTTATCATTGTTTCCGGTTCTCCATAGAGATCTATGGGATAGATGATTTGATTGTTCCTGATGTAGATCAAAGAGTGAGTATAAACGTCAATGCATGCCTTTATTAAAAGAAAATCCAACCCTCTGAGATGTACCTGTATTGTAAAAGGGTGTTTTTGTAAAGTTCTTGTTCCCTGCTTCTCTCCACCATTATCTCTATCTGTTCCCAAATCTAAATTGAAATTAGAGTTGTACCATTTTTGATTTAATAAAATCTATTTGAATCTAATAAAGCAAATAAACAAAGATTATTTATCAAAAAAAGTAATAAGGAAACTTTAAAGTATATAAACATGATTGATTTTGATATTGACATCAAAAAAATTTGCAACATTAAAAATCATTAAACTTTATACATTTAGCAATACTATTTTCTCTAAAAACGATACTGTCTAAATTCACTACTACTTGTGTGATCGATTCAATCATTAACACCAAAGGAACAAAATTAATTATTTCGCAACAAAAGCTATTTGTTTGTTTATTTATTGTTGTTTTTTTGATTTTAATATTAATGCATGATTTCTATTCATAATACAGTCAGAACTCGTTAAACCAAAATCAATATTTTCAAAATAAAAAAACTTCAATTTAAAATACCTTAAAAAAATCGGCTTATTGAGGTAATTTGATAGGTAGATAATAAAACAACATTGGTTTATCATGTATATTCAGTTTATCAAAGCATTGTCTTAACGAGTTCTGACTGTACGTTTTATTCGTTTTATTCGTTTTTATTCGTTTAATTCATTTTATTTGCTTTATTTGCTTTTATTCAAATTACTATTATTCATTTTATTCAAATTATTTTTACTCAAATTGTTTGTTTTATTCAAATAAACCTTATTTGAATAGAAACCTAACTAATACTCAAGATTATGATATTATTTTAGCACAAAAAGCTTTAGAACCAATAATTTAATTACAATATAAAAGAGTTATTGGTTTATTAAATAATTGATTAAAAAATAGGATTAATTTTAAAAGAATATCTGATAAATATCGGCACTTTCAACATTTACTAGTAGGCCTTTAGACTATATGATAAAAATATTATTAACTTATCAGTATGCCAATACCTAAATTATTTTTTTAAAGAATAATCAGATTCTAATATTTACTGATAACCCACCCAATTTGGCATCATTTGACCAGTAAAAAGAGAACCAATAGATTATATATAAGCAAAGAAAGATGGGAGCACAAACATAACAGCTTGATAGTTTGATTGACATAGTGGTGCAGTCTTGGTTTCAATGCAAAATTTTTTTTATTATATAATTAATCATACATCTTTAATAAAACAGACATGACTTAACTATTTAATCATTTC